ATCTTTGTATTCTTTAGCACAAAATAACATTTGAATCTTGAAATTTTAGATATTTATTCGGGGATCTCGGCATGCAGCGCGATGTCGACCCGAATAAATATTTAAAATGCCCCTATCTCGTAGGGACATTTTAGAGCAAAATAGAATTGGAATCTTGAAATTTTAAATATTTATTTGGGGATCTCGGCACGCAGCGCGATGTCGACCCGAATAAATATTTAAAATGCCCCCAGTCTTGCAGGGACATTTTGAAATATGTTCTCATGACATAAGAGAATTTCAAAATGTGAAATGTATATGCTAATAAACAGACATGAAAGCATAATACACTAGAAATAGCATTTTATGGGGCAATTTTATGCATAGTATTTCTTCAGGTATCGGCCATTGATTGGCGGCATGAGCCTTTGACCATTCAGATCGATCAGTTGATAAGCTCCTCCTTGAAATACCTTTTCGATGACGAAAGGTCCTTCCTAGTTGGAAACGAATTTTCCACCAATTTTTTTATGTGGGATGATTGGCCTTCTCTGCACCAGGACCAATTCTCCTTCTTGAAATGATCGAGGATGAAACATTCGATCAAAGGATTTTGTCATCCTTGCTCGGTAGATCTCCAGGTTCTGCTGAGCTTGTAACCTGATTTCATCGAGTGCATCGAGCTCTTCCATTCTGAGGCGAGCATTTTGTTCTTGAGTAAGCTCATTTTGGATAACAACTCGAAGGGATGGGAGCTCAACTTCTAGTGGCAGTACAGCTTCAACTCCGAAGACCAGAGAGTAAGGAGTGGCTTTGGTTGGCGTTTTGAAAGTTGAACGATACGCCCATAGTGCTTCTGCCATCTTCGTATGCCATTCCCTTTTGTTCTTGCTAAGGATTTTCTTCAACAATTTTACCAGTGTTTTGTTGAAGGCTTATGCTAATCCATTTGCTCTTGGATAGTATATAGAGGAATGCCGCCAATCAATTTTGTGCCGATCAACGATCTTGTAGATTTTGTACTTTTGAATGCAGTATCATTGTCTGAGATTATGCACCGTGGCACACCAAATCTGTAGACAATATTGTGGGTGAAGAAGTTGATCACATGCTCAGACGTAACTTCCTTGAATGGAGCCTCTTCTGCCCACTTAGAAAAATAATCTGTCACTGCCAAGATAAAGCGGTGTTCTACTGATGACGACGGATCTATTGGCCCAATAACATCAGTACCCCAACATTCAAATGTTCATGATGCTATTGTAGGGAGCAGTGGATTAGGATCTGGCACTCATGGCACCTCTTAGCATGATTGATACAATCTCAGACCATAGTCGGCCAATAATAGCCCATTCTTTTGATTTAGACTGCCATCTTCGGACCTGACTGGTGAGCTCCACAAAGTCCTTCATGAACTTCTGTCACTACCTTATCAGCTTCTCGGATCCCTAGGCATCTTAGCCATATTTGATCGAAAGCACGCCGATACAATGTGTTGTTGACAAATGCATATCGTAGTGCTCTCTTTCTGATTTGAGCGGCTAATGATTTGTCTGTTGGTAGTCTTCCTTCTTTGAAGTAATCAATGAAAGGTTGCCTCCAGTCATCTTCTTCTTCGACATCTAGATAATGCCACCATGTTTCTGAAGCTTGACTGGCCTTGCATGTTTTCTTAGGAACTTATTATTCTTCAGACTGATCTTCAGGATCAGCTAATTGGGGAGGTTGAGGATCAATCGGAGTTGCATCATGCTGGGTTGAATTTGGTATTCCCTCTGCCTGCGAGAATTGTAGTAATGCTGGCTCTAGGATCCGCCGATTGTGCACCATAATTATTATAGGCCATTCGTCGTTCATATTCGCCATTTCTTTAGCCAATTTGGCAAGAGAATCAGCTTTGACATTTTGACCTCGGGGAACTTGAGTTAATTTGACAATTAGAATTTGCTTTATAAGCTCAAGAACTCGTCGATGATAACAGGCCAACTCGAACTTAGTGATTTTGTAAACTCCCAATACTTGATTCACAATAAGTTGAGAATCACAAAAAATATAAAGGTTTCAAATTCGAACATCGATTGCAATCTCCAATCATGCTATTAGGGCTTCATATTCAGCCTCATTGGTTGTCCGAGGTTCAGTTATGCTGAATGAGAATCTCATTATGCCTCCTTCGGGTGCTACAAAAATGAGTCTGATTCCGGCTTGAGCTTTCTCTAGATTTGGAGGCCTAGCACGCTTGATTGACGATTCTCCATTAAAGTACATTTCTCATACTCGTAGCATCTCCTCTTCTTCAACATTCATGATCTGCTCGTCATGTAGATCATCGTTGAGCGGTGAATCTGCAGGGATAGGGTGTGCAGCGTGAAAATCTGCCAACACCTGTCCTTTCACTGCCTTTTGAGGGACATATATGATATCAAACTGCAACAATATCACTGCCCACCTCTCCAAACGACCTGTCAACGCTGGTCTTGTCATCAAGAACTTCAGCGGATCGATCTTTGATATCAAGGTGATTTTGTGATATAGCATATAATGGCGGAGCTTCTGAACTGTGAAAATCAAAGCCAAGCAATGCTTCTCAATTGGAGAGTAGAGGATTTCTGCTCCTATCAACCTCCGACTTATGTAGTAGAGTACATTTTCTTTTCCTTCTTCATTATGCTGGGCCAATAATGCTCCGAGGGACTCTTCTAGTGCTGCTGTGCACAGTATAAGAGGCTTCCCCAGAATTGGCGCCGCAAGAATGGGTGGATTTAACAGATATCTTTTGATGCTGTCAAATGCTTCATGGCATTCTTCATCCCATTTGAATCGGACATCTTTCTTCATCTACTTTGAAAATGGCTGGCACCTACCTGACAGATTCGATATGAATCTCCGAATGAAAGCCAGTTGTCCTTGTAAAGAACAGAGTTGACGAAGGTTCTTTGGAGGTGGCATCTCCATGATTGCTTTGATCTTGTTGGGGTCGACTTCAATGCCTCGATGTCGAACAACGTATCCCAAAAATTTCTTTGAGGATACCCCAAATGCACACTTGAGAGGGTTCACCTTCAGATCATACTTTCTGATCCCCTCGAATATAATTCTCAGATCATCAATGTGGTCTTTTCGGTCCGTGCTTTTAATGACCAAGTTATCCACATAGCACTCAACTTTTTGATGAATTAAATCATCAAATATATGAGTCATCGCTCGTTGGTAAGTGGCACCAGCATTCTTCAGGCCGAAGGGCATGACCGTGTAGCAGAATATGCCTATAGGCGTTCTGAATGATGTATGTCTTTCATCTTCCTACGCCATTTTAATTTGATTGTAGCCTGATGATCCGTCCATGAAGGAGAACATATCGTAGTTGAAAGTGTTGTCAACTAGAAGCTCTGATACTGGGAGCGGAAAGTCATCTTTCGGACATGCCTTGTTGAGGTCCCTAAAATCAATGCAGATACGAATCTGGCCATTCTTCTTCTTTACAGGGACTATATTGGCAATCAAATATAAATATTTTTCTTCTCGGATGAAGCCTGCTTCTATGAGCTTCTTTGTTTCTGCAATCACCTGCTCTTCAATCTCCAATCTCATTCTCCTTGGAGCCTGCTTGACAGGTACTACATCAGACTTGATTGCTAATCTGTAAACTGCCACTTCAGGTGAAACTGCCACATCAGGGGATAAGTCAGGCATCTCAGCATATGTCCAAGCAAAACAGTCCCTGAATTCACAGAGGAGCTCTTTTATTTCTTTTACTTGATCTTCTGGTAGAAGAGAGCTAATGAAGGTTGGGCGAGGGTCCTCCTCAGTTCCCAAGTTGACTTCTTTTAGCTCGTTCATCGTAGCAGCTTGTCCACCATCTTCCAGTTCTTCTGGTGCAGGCCCAGCTTCTACGGGTTGATCATCATAATCATTGGCTTCGTATGTCTCTTCAGCATCACCATCTTCAGATTTAATTTTCACGCATGTGATGGCGTGACAAATCTCTTTCCGAAGGAATTTTTACTTGATGAACCCTATGCCTTTATATGTATCTATATCTTTTCGTCGTAATGGATGCAGATTTCTCCCATACCAGAGGCCCAAGCTTGTACGGAGCTGTCGTTTGGTAGTAGGAATATTGATTTGCTTTCGTAGCATTTTTTGAATAATCTTGGTATTGAACTTGGGTAGCCTCGTAGGAAATAGTTCTTCAAAATCGAGTAGCATGTAATCCCAGTCATGATTCTCCTCTTCACGAACTCCCGTAGAATATAACACATTCTTTGGTATAGTCCCATTTTTACGGGGAGGCAGATAAAGAGTGGAGAGTTCTTCAATCTTATGCACCTCATGTGAAATAATTTCCTTGAAATGTTGCAAGGGAACACGTGTGACTACGAGTATGCTGTCTGAAATTAACAGACTGTCTATTCTTCTGGAGAACACACTCTGCACTGAGTTCATGTAGATTGAGTCGTAGTCATAATCATCATTTGAAAATTCAACCTGCCTACTCCATTCATCCATGGACTGGCATATTTTTTGAGATTTTGCAGGAGTAACATCAACTTCATCCGTGTCACTCCCAAGATGAGGTACATGCTTCTTTCCTTTGGGAATGCTTGGTGCTTTTGGAAGAGTCGGCATTGCCTTCTTTCTTCCTACACGCTTCTTCTCATCTTCTTGTTTGGATTTATTTGCATCCTTTGAATTTGATGCCTTAGCCTCAAGGGAACTTGAAGGCTTTTGCTTCTTTAGCATGAAGTACTTAGCATCTTCATAAACTGTTACTTCATGTACTGTAAAGGGCTGAATATTACCAGAAATTCTGAATTCTTCACCTTCCTTCAGATATTTCATGCACTGGTGTAATGTTGAAGAAAAACTCCGTATTCATGCAGCCAGGGGCGACCTAGTAGCGCCTTAAATGAGGTATCCGCATCAATCACATGGAATTTAGCTTATGTGTGAAGCTCCCCAAATATAAGAGTAAGCATAAATAATCCAAGGGTTTTCTGCCCTTTCTCATTGAAGCCGTGTACCATCAACTTGTCTTGCCCAAGATGTTCTACATCAAGGCACAGTGATCTCAGTGCTTTAAAACTCATGAGATTTACAGAAGATCCATGATCGATCAAAATCCGACTGATCATCATATCGTCACTCTCTGCCGTAACATACAAAGGGTGATTGTGATCTGCTGTTCCAAGCATCATATCATCCTCAGCAAAGGTGATGAGGGGCTCATTTCGAGCTTGTAAGACTTCCGTCAAGTTGCGTTCAACAAAATATGCCTCATTTCTTTCAGGGTCCTTGAGAGCTTGAATCAAAGTCTCTCGAAGGTCTTTAGACATCAGTAAGGCGTCATATATACTGAGTTGTTCTGGGATCTTCTTCAAGTGGGACAAGATATTGTAACCTATCCCCTTGGATGAAGTATTATTTTTCTTGGGATCTTCGAGGATAATATCTTCATTGATAACTATCTATTTTCCCTTATCTTTATTAGGAATCCCTTTCTTTGGTGGAGGCGGCAATACCTTGCCACTTCTCAACTGTACTTGGGCCATCTGATCTGATTCAGATTTGTTTGATGAATCATTATCTTCAGAGTCAGCCATTGTAGTGTCTGGGGATTCACCTGTAAACTCGGAATCCTCTCACAATTTTACTTGTTTCATTTGTGATTCTATACTTGGGTCTGAATCTTCATCATCTGGAAAACATAGATCATCTAAACTGAATTCCATTGATGATACCATTAGACAGAACTCAGGGGCCGCTTCTTCAGCGTATTTCTCCTTATCTGATATCTCTGATGTCGTAAATATGACTCGGCATTTCTCTGTAAGAAGGTATTCATCCTCAGCTTCTTCATTTT